ACACCACAGGCTGTAAATCTGCTGCAGTATTTCCCCACGTCCACAGGAAAACTCTGACACTTCAGCAAACTTTAACTTCATTAAAACCTCGTCGACTTTTCCCTCCGTTTCATTCAACGCTTCTGTTACAGGTTGGTTCAACATCTGGCCCCGTGGACCGTTTCTGGGCCCAGGACTTTCCTCATTAGTTTTTTAATACCCAGCTCCGGGGCAGGATTATTATCAAGATCCTTTTCTGAAATGCGTTGACGGAAACGTTGCAAAAATATTATAGCCAACTTCTAAACCACCTACGGACAAAAGTTCAGTCGTGTTTTAATCAATATTTATCTTTTTTACAATTTAAATTCATTTTCTTAAGTCACATTTTTTATGTTTATTATGTTTTTTTTAAATTGCTTGCCAACCTTAGTTGTTTAAGCAAATTCTTCCTTCTTTTTTTGGTGCCAAACTTTTGCTAATCCTTCTGATATTTAATCAGTTTTGTTATTTTTAGTTTTTGTGACAACAACGTTCTTGTAACTGTAACGGTGGAGAAACGTTCACCAGATCCTGACCCGGTGGGATCTGGTGCTGCTGCCGAAAACGGACCTCGTGAAAAGTGTGAACAGATGTGAATGAGACTGAAACACTTTTGGTTTTTATCAACAAAACAACAAAACTCTGTTTTTGTTCCTTTGAGGAATTTTCTTTTGTTTTTGTTGAATCAAAAACTGAAACGTTAAGATTTCAGTGACGACACAGACGACTCACCCTCCCCCTCCCTGCCCCCCCACTCCTTGGTGTGTTTGTGTGCGTCTCTGTTGTGGCGCTTCACTCCCAGCAGAGCTCCTATTAGTCTTGGCTCTCACAGACAGCTCCAGTCAAAGATGAACCATGAGACACTTCCTCTCATAAATCAGCACTGAGCTGGGAAACAGCTGCTGGTTTGGTGGCAGCTCCGCTCTTTTCCTCCACTGGGAGGGTGTGTGTGTGTGTTTGTGTGTGTTTGTGTGTGGGGTGGAGGTGAGGAGGGACGGGGGGGTCACCAGGAGAGAGAGAGAGAGAGGGGAGGTGGTGGTGGAATACAGGAAGTGACCTTGTGGCCTTGCCTGCTGTTCCCGGTGTCAGGTTACAGGGTGGGGGATGGGGGTCCCTCCATGCTAATTTAAGGTGGACCAGACCCTGACACACCAACAACACACAGGAAGTCAGGAACGTGGACTGTACGTGGGAGAGACCCTGAGGTTGAATGTTGTCTGTTTTGACGGATGACTGTGGCGTTTGAGTCCAACCTGGGGTTCTCGGCCCCTGATGATGACGACTGCAGTCACTCGTCATGGGCAGAATTTTTAAATTTAATTTAATTCTATGCCGATGATTTTAAGTCAAAGTACTTTTTGTCCCTGCTGTGTTTTCTGTTCAGTTCTGGTTCTTTTGTTGACATGACATTTCAAATCTTAATTTTTCTTGCGTGATTTTTCTACAAAACCTGAAGCTAAAACCGTTCCTGTCCAGATCTGAGTCTCAGTATCTCCTTAGTTCTGACTCGATGTCCACCACGGACAAAGTACTAAGTAAGACCAAGTACTGCACCGGACAAACCATGAATACATGGCGTAACTACATGCTACAGATGGACCAAAGACGCCTCTGAGTTTCTGCGGAGACTGGTGATGATTTCCACAGACTACGATCAGGAAAAGTCACCGCTGTTCTTTTGACTTTTCCCTCATGAAAAGGTCACCAGTTCTGCACCTGGTTCCCTCGTTTCAACAATGTCCTCAGATGTGGTACTAAAGTGTGTGACTGGAGAAAAGGAGCTTACAGTGAAGACGTCGTCGTCGCCCAGCTCACTCTCGTTCTGGAGCGCCGTAGACGAGGTGGTGGAGCCTGTTGACAGGACAGCAACAAAAGCCCATGAAGATTTTTGGATGGAGACATTCAGCAGACTACTCTAAACCTGTACATGATCTACGGTCAGGACCTGGACGTCCGGTCGGGACCGGGTCATTCTGACAGTGGACATGGATCTGATCGATCCAGACTCTCTTCAGATAACAGATCTACAAACTGAACTTTCTGCCAGTTCTGTTCATGAAAAGTTGGACGGCAGCTCCACGTACCTTCAGCCAGATCCTCGATAGCTTTCCGCACGCCCCGGTCAAAGGCTCTGGCGTCCGCTGGACTCTGGAAGGACAGGCCGCACCTCCGGTCTTCCACTTTCCAGTGATGAAAGGTGGGAGTGGCTATGGTGTAGACCAGGTCCTTCCTCAGTGGACAGTCCAGGATCACCTGTTCGACACGGCCCACAGAGAAGAGAACTGTTATGGACCCGCCCCCTGATCCGGAAATCTTTAGTTAGAATTCACTCCTGCAGAGTCAGCGGTTTTTACCTGTTTGTCCCGGAGCCGTTCACCGCGGATGAGGAACTGGGAACTGCCAGAGGCTGGCACGGGCGCCAACTCTGGCGGCAGGAGGCGACACACTCCGACCCTGGTCAGAGCGCCGCCATCCTGGGCCAACCAGCCGCCACTGGAGTCGTCCCGTGTCATCACCACCGCTTTCACACGCACGATGTAGCTGTCACTGGATAAAAACACGGAGACAAAGAGAAGGATTCATTAGAGAAACTTCCAGAATCTGTCGGTTTTTATTATGACGGGAAAGTTAGCTTTTTTCAAAAATGAAAAAAGAGAAAAAGGAGAGTAAAACTTTCACCCACAAAAAATAAAAAAAATAAAACTTTCAGTATTGCTCCAACGTCTTGTTGAAGTAGGAAACGTCACCGACTCAAAATAACAAACCGCTGCGTCAACACTTTTTGAGGTTTTGTTTTGGTTTTTTTGAGCCGTGCTGCTGCTTCTTCCTGATTCTGAGACGACGTTTGTTAGACTGAAAAAACAAAAAACAGTTCCTGGTACTGTTTCTTGTGCCTGTTATGTGCTGTAAGGAGGCAGAAGGGGCTTCAGTCACCATTAGATTTTTTTATTGACCTTGTTGTAACTAAGCACCCCTCTCCCCCCAGTTATACTGCTGAATTAAAGGCACAGTCCTGAGATTTTTTTTTTAACAATGGGGTCCAGTCTGTGGGTGGGTTGAGAAATCAGCTGCAGTGAAAACCTCAGCTTCTCCAGCTCTACAGACCCACTGTGGATGTGTGAGTGTGTGTGAGTGTGTGTGTGTGAGTGTGTGTCAGAGGAGCTGATATCAGCGTGCGCTGTGGCTTCTTGGTGTGTTACCGTGCAGCCGTCTGACGTGTGAAGATGTGAAACCGTTCTGTCCATTCGTACAGAGAACAGAGCTGGATTCACACAGTGGCAGAATGTTTGAGGGCGTTTCAAGTCACGACTCTGCTGCCGCTCGCTGCGCTGAGGTGGGAGTCGTCGCACCGGGACGCACGAACACTACTTTAAAACAAATGTTGCTGTTTTTTTGTGTTGCCTAGAACAACAGGAGGAAATTACCACTGTGAAATGATGAAGTGAAGTTGGACGGTTTGGACGGTTTGGACGGTTTGAGAGCTCAGGAACTGATGCTCCAGGTGGAAATAGAATAAAATAGATGATGGTGATTGGCTGTCATGGAGTAAACTCCGTCACCAGGGTTTGATTTAACCAGATCAAACCTGACTAGGGAAGCAGACTAGATGTTTTTAACTGATAATGTTGTGGTTCTTGTGGAGGAAACGATCAATGATAATGAAGTTCTCCTTTTTTTAACTTCTGTCAAACTGCGACTGTGCCGTTAGCCTAAGTGTGATTAGCTCGGATTAGCTTGTGTTGGCTAACTTTAGTTTTTGTTTATATCTAAATCCAACGGTCCCCGTCCTTCTTTTAACGCTCTATTAAAATATTTTTCAAACGTTACGACAGAAATGACTGCATGATATGCTAATGCTAGCTGTTTTTAGCAATTATGCAAATGGCATGACATCCGGTGGAGGCTGTCGGTGTGAATGTCAACATTATTTGTCAACAACAATTTATTGACAACTAACTTAATACAATGACTGTGAACGTAGCATTTGTCTGACGAAATCAATGATTTGTTTTTACTTTTAATAGTTTATAAAAATCATGCTTTTACAAGTTTTATAAAATAAAAGAGCACATGGAGAAAAACTTCCCACTGGCAGTATTCAAGTACTCAGTACCACAAAAGTACTAACAACAGGGGACGGAACACGAGACGTTCTCAAGTATTAGCATGACAGAGGCAGACATCCTCACAGGCACACGGTGAATGGACGACAAAGACAGGATGTATCACACATATCAGTGTGTGTGTGTGTCAGGTGTGTGTGTGAAAAGAAAGAGGAACATTGAAAGACTAAATGGAGGGGAGGGGTGTGGGGGGGGCAAAGTGGGAGTGAATGAGAGAGGTGTTGTTGTATAATTAGCCTGCAGACAGTCAGATTTCAGATACACACACACACACATGCACACTCACAGAGTGAGAGGGAGAGTTAGGTAAAGTGTGTGTGTGTGTGTGTGTGTGTGTGAGAGAGAGAGAGAGAGAGAGAGGTGGTAAAACTAGTTCAACAGCTCCCACCCACACACATTCATAAAAGTGACTGAATAACAGAGTCAGTGAGCGGCCGACGGCAGAGCAGCAGTCAGAACACGACAGCAACCACAGGTTGACCCACCAGCTTTACGCTGTCTTATAAAAACACACACACACACATTTATAGAAATATATTTCTATATACACATACATATATATATTTGTACACGTCTCCGTGATCAATCTGTGATTAAAAAAAGCCGTGCAGATTTTTATTAGTGTCTTAAATAGAACAAAGGTTTGTTTCCAGAATACGCCTTCGGTCTGTGGAGCCAGACCATAATGGAAGGTGGTAAAAAGTCATTCAGGTTTTTCTTAGTCATGCGGGAACCTTGAAAGGCGAGAATTGAAATAATAGAGATTTTTAAATAGAACCGACCTTGTTTTTATTCTAGAAAACAGAAAACCTGGAGACGGCACGCTGGTCGTGCTCAAAGTTCAGAGTCGCTTAAAAAGTAGCCACGACACACCTACTGTACGTATTTGTAATGAAATATAACAATCTTGTAAAAGTTTAAATTGACTCACAATTTACTAAAACCTTGGCCTGTTTAGTTGAACACAAGGCTGATTTACTCACAGGAATTGAAGAAAGACAATCTTCTTCAACAGCTCTGATTTTTTTAAAAAGGTTTTTATAGCCATCTAGCAACTGTTCTGCCTGTCATTTATGCATTTATGAACAAAGAAAAATATTTTGCAAAATATACATAATAGTTTTGGGACCAGTTTAGTGAAATTGGATAATTTTAACCTTATTAATAACAGCACACCTTACGAAATCTCACAGCACAGTGTTTGGGCGTCAGGCTCCAGGCGAATGTGTACTTGCTTGAAATACTACTACTTACTTAAAATATTTGTATTTATATGTGTAGCTTTCGAATAGATTCATCTGTTTTGTTTCGAATTTTCATTCAAGAACTAAAGATTTGGCCCGATTTAATTTAAAGAGAAATAAACCCGACCAACAGGATTCATGTTCATCCACTAACACCCCCCCCAGCCCCCCCGTCGTCTCCCCGATGACTCACCGATGATATACCGTGTAAAATGAATAAATAATAGCACTCTTTTTTTCATTATATATATAAAAAAACAAACTTCACCCACGCAGCTAGTGTTCTCAGTGGTTCCACGTGATCGGAACACCTTTCAGACTGAAACCCACACATCCAGTCTGGCCACATACAGAAATAACAGCGAATCCTCTTCTATATCAGCGCCGGAGCTTGAAGACACACGATCCCCGCTATCAGCTCTCTCTGATGAACTTGTCACATTTCGCTCTGTCTTGTGACCCGCGCTCATCGTCTTGTCTGCCGACAGGCCCTGTAATCTGTGGCCCGGGGAGCACAGACGGCCACAACCAGCAGAGACGTGTTACTTTAATACACTGGGGAGGGACCGCATAGGCTGGCATAAATACACACACACACACACACACCAATATATACGAATATATACACACAGTATGTTTGGGAACTGTGAAACTAATTCTGTCCACACGAATGTCGCATGAGGTACCGATGCTGAAAAAAGGAGTGTGACGCCTGCTCTCAGAAAAGGTGGTTTAGACTCTATTTTTAATTCAAAAGCCCAATCATTACGTCCTAGACCTGTTCCTGTAAACACTGCGGTGGCTTTAAAACCGCAGCAGACCAGCAGTTTACAATTTCCATGTATTTGAGCCGTGGCGTGTTCTGGGTTACGTCCACGCTACAACCTTTAGTTTGGATTGTTAGAGTGTCATCTTCAGTTGTCTCCTACAGCGCCACCTCTGTCAGGGATCGGGAGGTTCTTCAGACAAACGACCATTCACACTCAAACGGAGTCAAACGGTGCAGACTGATAAAGCGAGAATCAAACTACTGATCTCTCCACTGTAAGGCAAGACCACAAACCACTGTGCACCATGAGACCCACTCCACTTTCACAGCAGATGTCACCCTTAGTCCATCCAGGCATAAACACAGTGACCCGTCCTTCACGAGATGAAGCCGAAGGGTTGGTACCATTTTTAAAAAACTCAACATAAATTCACAACCGGCCAAAAAAAACAAAACAAAAAAAAACTTTGATGCAAATTTAAAATAAAATTAAACTATATCTGAGCGTTAACCCAGAAATTAAAATAAATTTAAAAAAAAACAAAACAAAAAAACCCCCAAAAACTACATTTGAGCGTTATACCAAAACAAAAAAAACCCCAAAAACTACATTTGAGCGTTAGCCCAGAAATTAAAATAAATAAAACAAAAACAATTTTGTCTGCAAACACCTTGTGTTTCAGTTGGTTCCTCTTGACCTTTGACCCAAAAAGTTTGCAAATGCAACATATGCTATCTATTAGCACAGGCCACGACCATGAAAAAACAACAGAAATGAGCATTTAATTTAGTAAATAATTAATCCAAGGTAAAAAAAACCATCTCAACTGAACCAACCGTTATCTTCTACACCGAGTGCAGACTTATTAAAAACATGTTGTGCACCATGATCAGGAAATCATCACTGGGTGGAGTGCATACACACACACACACACACACACACACACTTGGATTTGCTGCCAAGAATCACTGCACAGTCGGTGAAGTTCTTTAGGACTGTCTAATTTGCATGTTAGAGCAGCTCTGTTGTCAACAATGATCGCGGTCACACCAGGAAACACTGTCAGACCATGAGACCTGGTTCACGCTCATCCTTTCATACTGCAATAAAGAAGCAGAGAAGTCTGGGAGGCAGCCAGATCTCAGGTCTGGAATCCGGCTCATGTGTGCAGATAAAGGTGAGGTTAGGGAAGGCAGGGAAGGGCAGCTCCCCCCCTCCCCCTCCGGTGGGTGATAAGGCCAGCGGTACTTCCTCTGATAAGGTACAAATGGCCACACCTTGGCGCGATCAGCAGAACCACATCCCTGCACACGGCCGGCCTTCAGTGTACAGTAGTCAGGAAGGGACTTCCTGTTGGTTTTAGATCTGACTAGTACTTCGTAGCACGTCTTTCGTCACATTCAAACAAA